TAACACCATATCATCTCCTGGCTCTTCCAGGATCGAAAACTCGACGGTCATTTCACCGAATGGCTATAAAGGTTTATTTACTGCCCAAAAAGGTCAGCAGTAACTCTAGTGGAGAGACTCCATGGAACCCACCAACCAACAGCAGGCTCTGTCCAACAGGAAACCTATAACATCCTGACCAAACATTGACAGCCAAACTGCGACTAAGGTGACAGGGTTAGACACCAACCCATGTTCAACAAGCCAGACCCTCCAAGGTCCTTGCAAAAGGAACAGCTAGAAGCATATGAACGGTGCTTACTGGTGAAATGGAGAAATCCACAAATCAATTCGATAAGTCTACCAGAACTTATCGAAGAAGAGGAAGATGACTCATTCCCGAGACTTCCAGGATGACACATATGAGAAGAGAAAGCACATCCCCAAATACCTCATCAAATGGAGGAGATACCCCATGGAAAAAGACACTTGGGTACCACACAGCCAACTGGCTAATGCAGAAGACCTTATTCTGAAATATGAACAACATCTAGCGGTGGCACACCAAGAATACCCTGATTCCCTGGGTCCAGCTTGCAGAACAGCTGCATCCAAGCGTTCTGTGGCTCCTCTGCAAAACAGTATAGGGGAAGGCGAATCTGACACTGACTCAGTCAGGATAACCAAGTCTTAGTCGGGAGGTAATGTCATGAATTCACCCCTATTTTTTGCCTTATCTTATCTCATCTTATCTTATCTCAGCAACTCATCATTCGACTCTCATCATCATTCCTCATACCTGATCTGTATCATTCATGACCTGCTCAGTCACATGCCCACACTGCATTACCTCACGCCATGGACCACATCATGGGAACCTTGTCATGGGCTCTGCTGCCATACCTCGTAGAAGGTAGCACCATATGGATGCTACCCTTCTTACTCACAGGAGCGCTTCTTGCATCATCATGCTCATGCCACATCATCGGAGCATTGCCACAACACAACCATCAATCCCCTCTGATTGGTCCCTGGATCCGTTCGAGGTCCCATAGATCTGATCATACTTCTATGGGTCTGACCCTTGATATTCCCTCACACGCTGATGAACCTATAGACTCCCGTGGGCGGAAACACAAAACCTAGGTGTGGTATGTGTTAACAGACACAGAATCTGAAGGATGGTTCTAGTGAGTCTAGTCGGGGCACCTCCATGCAGTGACTAAAGCCTCCTAAGTTCGGAAAGATAAAGAAATTTCTCTACTAGTAGTGTAGAGGGCGGTAGCGAACTATAAAATTTGCAGGATGGGAAGTAATTGGGAAAGGGATCCTAGAAGAGGCCCTAAAACGAATCAGTAAATGTACAAGGACTATACCTTGTTCCTGTTGCAACTCTAGCTGCGAGTGCAACGAATAAGAGCTCTAAAGAGACTGTTCAAGCTCTAGCTGTGAACTCAGAGGCTGTAGCAAATTATTAAACTCGCGTGGTAGGATTGAATCGAAGTGATGAGGATCAGTCTGATACTCAACGAGACTTTCTCTGGCTGTGAGAAAGAGAATGCATTGATGGGAGGGATGAAAACACTGTCTCCTAGCTGCGGAAGCAAGCGAATTTGTTTGCGAAGCAAAGCAATAAAAGAGTTTTCTAGTGGTGGGACTCCTAATTACTTTGTGTAGAAGAGAGGGATGGGTTGTAAGCACAAGTAACCATTAAAGGTTCACCGTTGCTTAGAGAAATAAAGGTTCAAGACAAAGTTCTAGCAGCAAAATGTCTTTATTGCACTACTTCAAGGGTGTATGTTGTATGGTGTAGATGTTAGAGATCAAAGGTAAGTGTAGAGAATAATCTGGGGTCTTCCTTCTTCTCCTTCTCTCAGGCTACCAACTTGTGAGCTTAAATACTCATTACACTGGCTAACTAAGCTACCTTACTCTAGCACTAATATTACTATAGCATAGATTATTCAAGTACTTACTTAGCAAAGGTTGGTAAGTATGCACAGTTACTGCACCTAAGGCTATACTAATGTGACTAAGAGTTCTCACTAACCAGATCTCCAATACTTCGATGAATAATTTTCTATGGCTGCAGCTGACTTGCCATAGTTTTAGCTATGCGACGCATTTTGCAAGGCTGCACGTGGATAATTTGTGACTGCAGGGATGTTTCACATGTGGTGGCAGTGCTAGTTCTAGACTGCGAGGCACAAAGTCCATGGGGAGAAGGGAAGGATTGATAGGGCTGATGCCGATGACATCATATGCGAATCACTAACTTCGTGTGCTGAACACCAATTGACTTGGTTTAAATTGCATCTTGCTTGCAATCATTGAATTAGGGAAAGTCCACTATAGGGACAAAGGTGATAAATTGTAGGTTGTGTCCACAATTTCAGAGCGCACAGAGCCTAGAGGCTCATCAACGCATGATCCATTTGATGGCCCATGGGTCCGATCACACTCCATGGGCCTGACCCTCCTTCACCCAGTCATGCTTCTTTAGGTCGACTCTGATCACATCCTAGGATAGACAAGCCGCCACATATGCTCCTCAGAGGATGGCACCATATGGATGCCAGTCTTCTTATTCACAGGAGGGCTTCTCCTAGGATGGATAGGGATCCACGTATGCTCGTCCGAGGATAGCACCACCCCTCTGACTCGTAGATATGCTTCTACCATATCAAGCACCATATGGGCGCTTGCCTTCTTACTCGCAGGAGAGTTTCTCCTATACCAAGCACCATATGATACAGAAGACAGCACTGTGCTGAGACTTTACACACCAAGATACAGGAGCGGTACATACTAGTAAATACCATGATGTATTTAAATGAGCCTCGCTGTGGTCTTACACCCCAGCTTCGGCTAAAGTTATACACTCCTAACTTTTCATGCAGAAACTCCCTGTTTTGTGCCTAAGAACTACCGTTCTTGACCTAGCGATTGCAATGCCCTTCATCACACTGAATCACCGAATGTGAGTGACAGTTTGGAAGCAAACATTATTCAATCCAAGTTAGTGCGTTACAGATATTCCACCTGCACGTATTACTAAACTCTTTGAATCAAATGATGATGGCACCCTTGATGATCTTCCAGACCAAGAAGAGGATCACAATGAGGCAGAATTAGCTTAAGTCACTCTAAGTCACTCGAAGAATTAGTGTTGAAACCAAAATATTTATTTATTTGGGGCTCTTTTGGCCACCCATACATGCTCGTTCTAAAATAATATACAACCACTGGTTGAATAGCAGTACTATGACACTCCTTCAAAAATAAAAATGCTGCAATGAAAATACATTGAAAAGAAAAATCCACCTGCCAAAACTAGTTAGGCCAAGAGCCACGGTTATTGGACCAACCACTGTTCTTGTTGGACCAATTACCTTTACTATTGTTAGGCCAACTTCCTTCATTGTTGTTGTTCCAACTCTTGCCCCAACCATCATTGCGTTGCTTACTGTGATTGCCATTACTATGACCATTGCAATGCTTATTGTGATGTTTTCCACCAGTTGAGGAGGAAGCAACCTTAGAAGCAGTTGAAGCCTCGGCATACTCAGCCTTACATTTGGCCTTGAGCTTGGCCTTGACAAGGTGGTAATGCATCACCAAGACCTGGCAAGTCTTCAAGAGCAAGAATAATTCCCAAGTGTTGGTCTCAAGATGCTGGTAGAAGGCATCGCAGGTGGACACCAAGGAAGAAATGGACTCCTTGCTGGTAAAAGAAAACTGGGAGAAGTTAGTTCTAACATAGGCTTTAGCAGAATCCATGATGTTGTCAGTGGCTTTGTCCTTGATGGGATCGTTAGGGTTGACTGGAAAATCAGGGTATTAGTCAATAAAAACCCTGAAAATTGGATATAAAATGTACCCAGACTGAATGGGTGTAACGCAAGGAGGTCATCAATGATTGACAGAACATGGTCATTGTCCTGATAATTGGCTTCGTTGAAAGGAACAAGCAGGATTTGGTGATCAGGAATTCCACCTTGGCAGTACTGGCCCCAATTTTTTATGCATTCAGTGCAACTTTCATCAAGACCTGCAAAATAACAAGTTACGCCAGCCTCATGGCAAGGATAGCATGGGTGCATGGCCTATATGGAATATTAGTTCAGTAAATTCTGTCATGGAAATTAAGAAACATACTGTGGTAGTCCTAGCAGGGCAAGCATGAGCCAGATGATGAGGCATGCCAGAACAGTAGGTGCAGAAGGCCTCCCTAATCTTCATCTTGTCCTTCTTAAAAGAAGCATGGTAAATATCCATGATCTTGTTGCCAATATCAATCATGTCCTGAAGAGTGCTTTTATTACGACTTTACTCCTATTTTTCTTATCTTATCTTATCCTTATCTCTCAGAACCCCGGACCTGCCTATCTTATCTCTCAGACCCATGATACTCCGCCGGCACCCGTTTACCCAGTTGCCATCACCCCAGTTCACAGCTGCCACACCCCAGATGACTGATGACCCGCATGTGCCATCATGCTTCTCTTGATGGCATCACACTTCTTAGTAGTTGGACGAGAGTAGACCACCAGTCGAGGGCAGCCTACAGGATGCAGCCTATTCAGATGGGGTCCCACGCAGATGCAGGTGATATGCGCTCTTTACTCTCATATGTCGGGAGTACACTTCTTTTAGTGTCCTCCCTCCTCATTCGTTGAAAGACGCACTTCTCATTGCATGCACTCTTGTAGATACTATTCTTAGTACGAGTCTAACATGTATTTAAACTAGCCTACACTGTGGCCTTAGACCCCAGCTTCAGCTAAGGTTATATACTCCTAACTCTTACAAGCTTCTTGCTTTCGCTATAAAGTGATGCCTAACTTCTCGCAATCTACCAATGCCTCTCTAACACTGAATCACCGAACGCAAGTGACAGGATAGAGATCAGCCTTGGTTCAGATTAGAGTTAGTGCTTAACAGCCTTTGTTCTTGGTGCGAACCTCTGCAAATGAGGAAGAGGAATGTGCACTGGTCTTCAACAACTAATATTGCCAGAATCAGTCAATCATCTGGTGATATTGATACCAAGAACATATCAGTTCTAAATCCATAGAAACAATTTCCGCTGCCTCAGGAGAGATAGCATGAGATACTAGAGCAGAAGCCCTTGTAGAAGCTGTTGTTGCATTTGAGGACCAAGTAGCTGACTCTGCAGCCTCATCAGTAGATAGTTTAGGCATAGCAGGAGCAGAAGGCATCTGGGTATCCTCATCGACAAAAGAACGGATAGGTGCTAAAATTGTGATGTCACCCACCATGGCATTCTCAGGAATGGTAGTATTGCCAGAGGCAGGACTAGCCTTGGCAGGAAGAGGAGCCTTGACAGAAACAGGAGAAAGCAGTACAGTAGCAGTACCTTCTGCAACAGAGGTCATGGAAATCTGATGAAACTCAACACCAGTCATAATGTCCCAGTACGCATGGAAATTGAAATGAGATACAGCACCCTGGATGACAGACTCGAACTTTTTGAAAAACAGTTCATAGACAATGGCAGGATAGTGGACTTGTAAAGCCACCTATGGAATTATCAGTACCATTATAAACATTCCTCAACGGCATTACACCCTACCTCAACTTTGGTGGCATCATCAAAATATTCGACTTTTCGATGAAAAGCTGCATCACTAGTTAAATGATTCTCGGAAATAGCAACAGCACGTTGCATGAGAGAAAGAAGAGTAGGGAGTTCATTGACAGAAGTAACAGACATGTTATGCGATGGAGATACTAGGACAAGACACCCACCTTTTATACGACAAAGGGAGAGAGTATCACCTCAGCATGATGATGTTACAATTCCATCAGACTTGGAATTGAAACTTCGACGAGACACGAGTTGAAGAAAATACCATGTGCTAGCTCAAAACTGTACTCAGCAGCATTATTTTCACATCAGCAAAGCTTGCATACTTCAGTATAAATCTTTCAGGCTTTTGCCATCAAAGATTTAAAAAGTCTAGGGGGGGAGAGACATGGTCCCCATGTGTTTCTATGGCAAAAACAGTCCTCACATTTCAACATATTATTTTTGCACAATCAGTAATGAATTCATGAAAGAAACAACCTCACAATTCATGAAAATCTGCATGAACTCATTATGAAAATCACTTTGGAATTATAAATATCCCAACTATTTGACTATACAATGCAGGGATATCACAACTCACAGTAAAAATGCCATCCACCTTACAAGTTCAAAATCCAAAGCACAAATTGTTATCTATGCAATCTATGGCATTTACATGCTATATCCATTCACACTCCTTTCATATTTCCATTCCACGGCATTTGGACTGAGAGACATTTTCAATCAAAGTACTCTCGAGGTCATGTCAAAGCACACATATGACCTCCAGTCACTGAAAATTTCCTTTAAGTTTGAAAACCGCTAAACTCAATAATAATTCACTCATTTTCACACAAAAATACACAAGAAATGATGATTTATTTTGTTTAACATCCTTGGGACAAGTACATACAACTATGATATAAAATTTTGCCCCATGGGCATGCAATACAAAAGTCCTTCAAAATAATTTGGAGCCTCACTCCCAAGAAATTCAATGCAGAGGCCAACTCAAAAATGGAAGAATGGCAAAAGCCCTGTACTTTTACATGCAGACTTAATTAACTTGTGATTAAGCTGTAGAAGGGCCTGCCCCATTTTCATCCATCTCCTCATTGCTGACAGCCTCCATGTCCTCAACTCTAGTGTCCTCATCCATGACCTTAGCCAGAGCTTCAGCACCTCACAATGAATTAATGCAATCCCAAAGTCCAGATACATGCTCCTGTAAATTCAATGCCAGGAAGATGTTGCAAATAATCCAATAAATGGCATTCATGTATTGGTTGATGAGGTTGTGAGTGCCAACAATGGCATTGTATTGAACTAGAAAGAAGGCATTAATAATAGCAGACCAAGAAAAGAGAAAACTTACCAGGATCAGAACGATATAGAATATAAGGACATAACAACTTCTTGCCATTGAACATACACAAGCCCTTTGTATATACACATCACATGCAGATGCAACCAGATTGCTGAAGGGCACGGCAATGCATCTCAGCTTTCTTGCACCAGTCACAAGGGTAGGAGTACTTCAAACAAAAAGTCAGGAAAAATAAAGGAGAAAGGAGAAAGAAAAGAATTTACCATCTCTACGACAAAGGGAGCAATATCTGCAGCCCAAAGTTGTCCATCCACTTCAACATACTTGCTGAAGTCCCTTGAGAGCACAAGCATGCCCAATGCAGAATGAGGATTCGCACTTCTTCCATACCCTTGGGAACGAGTTTGCCAAAGCCTCCTCCAGAAATTCCTCTGAAAGATGGGGGAGGTTCTCCCTTGCCTCATCCATGAGTACGATTAGCCTCTGGCATTTCAGGGACTAGAAGATTCAATTAGTCATGAAAATGAGGATACTAAGGAAAAGAACTGACCTTTGTCCTTCTTGTCATTGTTCTTGTCCTCAACTATGGTAATCTTGCGCTTCTTAGTAGCAGGAACTGCAGCATCCTTGTCCTTGCCCTTAGGAGGGCCCATCTTGATAACTGGTTGAGGGCAAGGTTTATTATCCTTGGACTTCTTGCGCTCATGAAGTCCCCTGGGTGAATCAATAACGATTGTATCATCATTATCAGGGACCGAGTCCTCAAAGACAGGATTGGGCATAGGTTTCAAGGTCTTGACAATGTGACGAGCTGGGGGAGGAGAATCAATATCCATATCCTTGTCCTCTGGAATAGGCAGCGGATTTTTGGCAGTATTGATAGTTGTATCCTGTTCATCGTTGGTATCAGGGAAAAACAAGGGAGTACAGTCATGTACCTCTTCGATATCTGGTTGCAGAGCTACTGGAGAAGGAATCTGGTGGGTTGAGGAAGTGTCGACAGGAGCTGTAAAAAGAAGTGAGAAAAGAAAAGAGTCAACAAAGTTATAAAACTTGCCTGTACTCTTGTCGGCATTGGAGGAATTGATGGCCGTTGACCCAGAAGCCTTAATGGCAGCAAGGCTCTGTTTCACAAGCAATGGCTTGACAGAACAATGCAAAGGCGAATCAGGAGGCAAACGAAAAGTGAACACGGAACTTGATGAAAGGTTTGGACTACCAAAGGGAGAGTTCAGTTGAGACCGCAGCAAAGACCAAGCAGAGGATCCCCACCCAAGCAGCATTGAAGAAGGACCAGCTAAACCAAGACACTCATCATTGGAAGCAGGTGGACCCATTGGGTCTACACCCTGGTCTTCTATTCCATGTGCAGGAGGAGGCATTGGCATGTCAAACAGGTCTTGGGCAGAAGCTGTTTGTTCTTCAAGTGTTGGAAAGGGAGGAATTGTGACAAAAGCCTTAGAAGTTGTTGCCTCTGCAATAGGTGAGGCAGGCATGGTAATCTGAGATGGAGGAGGGCCTGGAGTTTTCTCTTTTGAAGGAGAACAATGAGGAGTTGCCTGTCTTGAAGCAGGAGGTGCAGGAGTCTTCTCCTTTGGCTGGATAGGCATCATAGCATTGGAATTGTTCAAATTTGAAGTTGTTCCTTTGGGAGATGGCAGCACTGGACTTGGAAGGTGAGACTGAAGTGGTGTCTTCTCCTTTTGTTGAGAAGTCAATCCTCCCATATTGACAGGAGGAGAAAGTGTTGATTGCTGAAGTAGCTTGTTGGGCATTTGAGAAAGTCCATGACTGAGAGCCATTGAAGGTGCACGTGATTAATGTGACACTGCAGAACGAAGGATGAGTGGAATCACTTTAATGTCATATTTGCCCTGCAAGGAAAGGTCAAACAAACAAAGAGAAAAAGGACATAGTAAACACATGAATAGCCCAAGCATCTCATTAAACTCTGCCCACACCTGAGATATGCACTTCCAAGGGAAATCTTGAAGACACGAAAGTGCAGAAAACTCGAGCTCTGACCAGTCATCCTCATCAACATCCTCCACTGCACTTCATGTAGTATTGCAAACTACCCAGCTGGAATGGGCATTGATAACCCAGGCATTGGTGTCGGCAGAGTCCCAAGTAGAGTTGGGAGGGTTGGCACTGAGTTCTTTCAATTTCTCAGCAGAGTTGTAGTAACTGGGACCATATTCTCAGTCAGCCATGGCAGCGATCAATGTCGTTGAATGATGTTGAAGGCAGGGATCAAATGAAAGTACTAAGAAATTCTCTAGTGAAACCAGAGACAGCAGTCAGTACATGAAGTCAAATGAGTACACCAGTGTAACCAGTGTCGACTTGTAAGAAAACAAAGACTCACCTCCAAGAGGAGGAAGAGCATCTTTGTGAGACTCTAATGTAAAGAAATATGTGTTGAAGTCAGGGCAGACAATGAGCAAAGAGCACAGAGGACGATACCCACTAATACGTGGTGGGGAGCGTAAAGAGAAGTTCCACCAATGCGAAATTTCTCTAAGTTCACCTTGCCATGCAGCACAGAAGCCATGTGTGCCTTTCACCTTTCACAGTGAAGGTACTATGTGGAACTTAGAAGAAATACAAGACTGAGCCCATATGGAATACCGCTTCTTCAGGATCTATTTATAGATCACTGACATGTCTTTGGCATTACCATAGCCATTAACAGTCTTATTGCACAGCCACATCTTATCTCTTGACAACAAGCACCCTAAACTCTGGCTTCTCATGGGAATATCAATTATATTGCCAGCAACAAATGTTACGGAGTAACATAATAAAAGTCTAGGGGGGATGATAAGCCTCAAGGCTCTGTACGCTCAGATTTTGTGGATTTAGCATTATAATAAATGCCTTGTCCACTTAGTGGACTTTCCCTAAGTCAAAAATTGCAATCATGGCAATACCCACTTTTACTGCCAAATTCCCTTTCCAGCTTGTATTCCACTTCAATATGCACCACTTCATTATTGCTGCCAGGCACCTGATTGCAGATCTCATGAAATTAAGACCATCATTGATCACTCAGCACAGCCATTGCTGACATCAGCATCAAGCATGACTTAATAGAATGCCACCGCCAAAGTACCTATTCCATGGCAAAAGACTTAATACCATGACCTTTCCACCAGCTTTACTAAGGCTGTTACAATGCCAAGACAATGCCACATGTATCCACTTTAGTGTCCTACCTTCAGTGTACTTTGCTGCAGCAACACAGCAACCCAAGAGTCTGTATGTCAGTGGAATTCTTTCTGATCACTAAGTCTATACATGGTAAAACTGTGTGGATGCTGTTACTTTAGAACTCTGGGAGCATGTGTTTTGTATCATCTCTTACCAATCAATGTACTAAGGACTTACTAAGGACTTGTTTCAAGTATTCTAAAGTTATTGCAGACTTGTAGTATAAAAGCTAGTGTAGTAGTAGTTATCAGGGACACAGGTTATCAACAGTAAGTAACTAAGTTGCTACAACTGCTATTTCTTGTACCCATTAGGAGACAGACAATAACAGCATAGTCACTCCGAGTTATACTCTCTGTCATGGCTTTTCTTCTAATGGTATTGGTGTATGCTCATATTGTGCCAATACATGGAATTTTGTGTCCACAACTCGCTATTATCTTTTATTCTGCCAGCATCATTTCACTTTCACCAGCCAGCATCATTTTACCAGCTTTCACTTTCTATGTCACCACCATTTTACCCCAGCTCAGCTCAGTACAGTTAAGTCCCCGTGTGGACTCAGATTAGGATCATTATTGCTGCCAGCAGTATCTGTCATGGAATTTTGGTTAACAGTATAGGATTGTCAGTCACGGCATTTGGTATCTTGCTGTCAGCTTCAGTATAGGATAGTCTCTATGTAGACTCAGGATCAGGATCAGTTTCATTTTACCACAGTTAACCTCAGCCCAGTGATATGCTGTCTACGCGTTCACACCTAGATTTTGCGATTTTATAACAATACTGTTGCAGGTCTATCCTATACTAGTCGTATATCAAGAGCTATAGTTGAGACTTCGGACTGATAGTCAAGTTAGCATGCTACTAGTCGAGTCAGGACTTAGGAATGATACCACTAGTGGGTCAGCCCTACCAGCTGACCGGACTAGCACCTCCAAAGCTAGTATGACTTAGTAAAATACGGTCACTAGTAAAGAACACAGCTGCTAGCGTCCAAACAAGAAGTAAGAACCCACACAGATCTTGACTATTCAGTCGCTAGTGGACCGATCTGGGCATGAATGCCTAAGTCAGGATGACTAGTCACGTGAGCACTTCTGAAAGGACTTAGAAATGAACCAGTAAAGGCATAATCCTTAGCCCAGATCCGGCTAGTGTGATACAGATCTCATACGATCGGCACTAGTATAGCCAGGCTGCGCCCCGATCACGATCGAGCAGTTGCTACAGGCACGGCTACCCGACTATTCGTATAACCGTGTCACTAGTGGAGCACCACTGGGCAAAGGGTGTGGAAACGACCCAATAGCGGAGTCCCTCAACCCACTATCCGACAGAAAGAACAGGCTAGGCCGACTATTGCATGATTATTCACCATAATTCGTGACTAGCCAAGATATCCTTACCAATATTACCCCTAAAGAATCTATTTATATTTATTCTGTACCTGTCTCTGTAGTATATAAGTAGTAGAAGGGGCAGCCTCGCAGGCCAGGCAAGCCATCCCCACGATTGTAACCTACTAGTCTATATTCTAGTGCCCCAATTAAAGGCTTTTGTGCTTAACCTCGATGAAGTGTCTACTAGTCACTTAGTCACCTATAGTATTGAACGAATTGAAGTGTCTTAAAGTTACTATTCCGTCTTGGAGTGACTCAGAGTGTTTCGAAGTTAGTTAAAGTATTTTCTCAGAGTCAAAGTATTTGTTCTTAGGCCAAGAGTGCCACTAGTCGAGCCTAGGGTGCTGCTAGTCAAGTGTAGACTGCTTGTGAGACCCAGTATTTGGCCCAGAGTGCCACTAGTTTTGAAGTATCAGAGTTAGACCGAGCGCAGTTGCTCAACCCAAGTCACTATTCATCCAATCGTGTCTTAAAACCCTGCTAGCACAAGTATTACATCTTGTGTAGCTCACTAGTACCAAATATACATCTTTAAACAACCTTTCCCTGATTTGTTGAAGTCTGCAGAGTGCTTCTATCATACTCGAAACACCCGAACTCAATAATATTGGTGATTAGTGTAGAGTAGTAGAGGGTTTTGGTGTTGTGGTGTTCATATCCATTCACTAGCCTTTTGTCACTCGCCGTTACCGAGCACATCATCTGGAGCCCACCACGAGGGAGTTTCAGACTTGATAAATCTCGTTGAATAAAGACTACTATTTGACACTAGTCGTGTTAAAGAAGATATTATTCAACCTAGCCGCTTGTACTCAATCTGTCTAACCAAGCCTCAGCGAAAGCAAAGGGCAAAGCTAGAGCTACAGAGCCCGAACAAGCCTTGACTTCTCAGCCAGTACGCAATAGTGCTGCTTTGAGGCTGCATGGAAGATCAACAACCAATTCAAGAGCTGCTGGTATTGGATCTCCGTCGAATTATGACTTGTTAAAGCAGAAACGAAGTGCAACTGCACCGCCTGATAGCCTACAAGCTAGGACAGCACAGCGAATCAACGCAAACTTAACAGTTCAACAGACTAGACCTCCTGTACCACCCTCCTGGCCAAGAACTTCCCTCACTAGTGGAAATAGAAACCCACTAGTACCTAGACAATCGAACTCCCAGTCCATTCAAACTGCTAGTAGACCGACCATGTCGACTAGTACCCAAAAGATGCCTAGACCCACATCTAGGGACGTGCCCAAGTTTGATAGCGATGAGCCTGAGAACTTGCGACATTTCCTTGGGCAGATGGAGGATTTATTCTCTGACTATAGCATCACTGACGATGACGAGAAGAAGAAGAAGCTAGTAAGGTACACGGATGCCCATACCAAAGAAGAGTGGCAAGCACTGGATGAATATACCAGCGGCACATTTGCTGAGTTTAAGGAAGCTGTGCTTAAGAACTATCCAGAGGCGGCTGATGCAGAGACAGGTACTTGGGAGAGGCTGACGCAAATTTCGCGTAAGTTCTCAAACATTGGATCTGACGAGCGTGAGACGTATCTGAAGTTCAAGCGTAGGTTCTTGACTGAGGCAAAGAAGCTACAAAAACCTCCAGCGCTAGTTACAATTCGAGAACTAGTGGAAAAATTCACTGAGTCGTTGTCACCCTCGTTTAGAGAACACATCGGTTCCTGACTAAGTATCAAGCGAGGACTCAAAAGCAGAACGGCTACGCCTGCTGTGGCTCTGGCTACAGGTGCAGCTAGCACTGCAACCCCTGTCAAGCGACGGGAAGATATGCACACCCTTGAAGAGGTTGTTGCAGAAGCTGATGACATTGCGTTCAACACGTCTACTAGTTACCTTCTGTCGTTGACTAGTACGAGTATGTCATCTACTGGAGTCACTAGTGGCCCTGGTATCAAGGCAGAAATGGAAGAAGTAAAGCAACAAGTAGCTACACTACTCGATCGCATCGATGTAAGTGATAAGCATGCATGTGAGAGGCAAGATGAAATATTGTGGGCCTTTCAACAAGGCAGTAATAATGCCTCCACTGCCGAGGCAATCAAGATCTCAGAATGACAACTCCGGATCGGGGTCTTCAGACTTCCTCTGCTGGTACGACTGGAAGCCAGGGCACTTCGTAAAAGATTGCCAGAACTGCCAGAAGCACATAGTGGAAGGACTATTGAAGGTAGTCAACAACAGGTTTGTGATGGCCGATGGCTCACCTATTCCTCGTGAACCAGCACAGCTCTCACCCATGGATCAAGTACTAGCACGGCATAATAGTCGAAAGCAAGAGCAGTTGTTTTGGGAAGAGCAAAACGGGGCAGTGGGTGTTTACAACCTCGCTATTCCCGAGTATGCATCTCTGTATGCGAGCAGGCCAAGGGACGCTCGAGACGAAGTTATTGAAAAACTCCGTCAAGATCTCCAATATTGGCAAACTAGCATGCAAGCTCCAATGCAGCCTGCCCAGCCGACTATCCAGCCTCAGTTGATACAAGCTCCGGTAGCATCTACTAGTAGTCAGCCAATGAATCAATCGTTTGATCCTAACTTGTTTTTGAGTCAAATGATGTCTCTTTTAAGTCAAGCCAACGGTCAGAACCAGACTAGTGGGCAGAATTCTGAAGGTCAGTATGTTGCTATGCGCTCTGGCACAAATGAACAGACCCAGCAGGGTTTCGAGTAGGTCCGATGAAGGCTACGAGGCAAAATATGTCGAACCCCTCGACTATTTCTCATAAACAGCCGGAGGACCATTTTAAAAATAAAACCCAGGGGCCTGAACCTCAGAATTTGCGAAAGAAAGTGACTGAAGACTTGGTTGATGAAGTTGAAGAATCAGAAAAGAAATTAAGAAAGCCGACTAGTCGGAAAGTTGTGGTAGAAGTACCCACCATCCGGCGCACTAGTCGAAAACAAGTTACCGTAGAAGAAGATTCTGACAAAGAGGAGGACCCTCCAAGGCAGGAGCTGCCATTCAGGGACGTACCCAGTGTGAGCTTTGCTCCTCTGCCATCGGACAGTAAGAAAACTAGAGCTAAGAGTAAAGAACGGGCAGACGACTCCAAGGTACCGGCCTACAAGCATACGGCGCCTATCCATAAGGAAGGTAGGGTACAGGACGTCACGTCCAAAGTGTTGAAAATGCCAATAGTGTTGAATGCTGAAGAGCTTATGGATCTATCGGAACCATTAAGAAAAGAGATAGCTAAGTTGATGTCCAAAAAGCGGGTAGCGACACAGCCAGAGATGGAAACGGTGTTTAGTGTGGGGGAGACTCAGCCAGAGTCAGTCCCATTTCCATTTCACGGCACTAGTGATGAAGCAGAAGATGAGGAGGACTTGTCCTTGACCTCTGATGCTATTAACATCTGTGACTTACCCTCTGCGACATTTATGGCTGCACAATTCAATGTTGGTTTAGTACCAGCTGGTTCTTTGATCATGACAGACCCATACCTTCAGTACCTCGACTCACTAGCACCAGGAGAAAAGCCGAAGCCGGTAATAGTCGCAAAAGACTCTGCCAGCTTGCGAGCTGTGTACCCCTTAATAAATGGCGTAGGAGAAGAAGAAAGTGTGGTTGATGGCGGCTCACAAATAGTGTCGATGGCTGGGGCAATAGCGACCAAGTTGGGTATAGCTTGGGATCCGGACATCATTATTCATATGCAGAGTGCAAATGGCCAACTTGAGAAGACCTTAGGACTAGCCAGGAATGTTCCGTTCCTCTTTAATGATATTACCGTGTACTTGCAAGTGCATGTTATCAATAGTCTGGCTTATAAGGTGTTGTTAGGTCGACCGTTCGACGTTCTCACTGAGAGTGTCATCAAGAACCAAGCAGACGGTGGACAGATAATCACTATTACTGATCCTAACACGAGTCGAAGGTGCACCATTCCGACTTTCTTAAGGGGTGCTCCCCCTCGAGTCGCAAAGACAGCACTGAAAGCCCCAGAAGAGGGTTTTCAGTTGAACTCGATGAATTGATGAACGATCAAGGAGAGTTGGCTCTGCAAATCGTGCAGAATAGTGATGGAACCTTTGAAATTGAAGCCTATATGAAGCCGGAGCAAGGTACTAGTTTCTCCCAAGAGAATCTGAGGGACAGTTTCCTCATGGCTTTGCTAAATAGTAATGAAAACTTGCACAAAGATGAGAAAGCTGCAGGACTATTGAATTCCTACTTCCAAGGGAAGGTAGTACCTGAGGGCTATAGCATGAAATTTTGTGCTCATAAGCATGCTAGTGACACTGTTCCGTTGCTAGATGATAATGAAATTCCAATATATAATTTGTTAGTAGATAATTTGCGTGCAACCACCAAGGCAAAGGAGACTAGTAAGCTGAAAACGACACTAGTCCCAGGATTTGAACACCTTGGTGCACGCATGAAGAGCCCCGACTTCGAGCCAGTCGCGGTACTAGCTGGAAAGAAATATAAGCCCGTAGCATTAAAGGTCAAGCCACTATTGGGTGACCTTCCGGATAAGTTCCGAATAGTGAGGGATATTAAGGGTGACCCCCTTAAAGATATGCCACTATTGAGTACGAATCTGCCTGTGTATGTACCTACAGCACGCTATACCCTAGAAAGAAAAGCAAAGATAGACGAAAATCACCCAGAGGGATTTCTATGGCCAGAAGAGCGAAAGCTAATGCACCATTTCATGACTATCCAAGAGCAAGTGTTCGCTTGGGATGACACAGAAAGAGGGCGTTTCCGAGAGGATTTCTTCCCTGCCAATAGACATCCCGGTAGTACCACACACTCCATGGGTATTGAAGAATATTCCCATCCCACCTGGGATCTATGAAGAAGTCTGTAGGATTATTAAGTCCAAGATCGATGCCGGTGTATATGAGCCATCTAATTCTTCTTATAGATCAAGGTGGTTCTGCGTTATTAAGAAAGATGGTAAAAGCCTTCGACTAGTACATAGTTTGGAGCCCCTCAATGCAGTAACTATTGCGCATTCAGGGATTCCACCAGCCACAGATGAACTCTCTGAGCACTTCGCTGGATGAGCCTGTGGAGGATGTTTGGACTTGTATGTGGGATACGACGAGCATGACATAGCAGTTGGCTCTCGAGACTATACTACCTTCCAGACTCCGTTTGGTTCTATGCGACTAGTGAAGTTACCGATAGGTTGGACGAATTCTGTCCCAATATTCCATGAAGACGTAATGCATATCTTGAGAGAAGAAATTCCACATGTAACTTGTCCCTATATCGATGATGTACCTGTTAGAGGGCCAGAAACCCGCTACGAGACTGAAGACGGGGGCTATGAGACCATTCCAGAGAACCCTGGGATTCGTCGTTTTGTATGGGAACACATGCAAACATGAATCACGTGGTTCAAAGAATGAAGTACTGTGGAGGGACTTTTTCGGGACCTAAGACATTCTTGTGTGTTGAGGAAATGACTGGTGGTTGGTCATCTATGCACTTATGAAGGAAGAAAGATTGAAACTGATAGAGCAGGAGTCATTAGCATTGGGGACCTTGCAAGCACCTCACATGATGTGCATGCTTTCCTGGGAACTTGTGGTGTCTGTCGAAAGTTTATAAAGGACTATTCGAAAATAGCGGAAACCACTAGTGAAGCTGACACGACTCAATGTGCCATTCGAGTGGGGAGAAGAACAGCAGGGAGCTATGGATGCACTCAAAGAAGCAGTCGTCAATAGTCCCAGCTATTCGACTGATAAACCTCACTAGTGGGGCTGAAGTTGGGCTTTGCATAGACACGTCCTACAAAGCTGTAGGCTTCTATATCTATCAGGTGGATGAGAAGGATCCAACCAAGTGCTATTACGTTTCGCTTCAGGATCTATTATCATGAATGAAAGAGAAGCCCAGTTTTTCGCAACCAAAACGCGAACTCTATGGGACTACTGCGAGCTTTGAAAGCTTGTCAGTATTGGCTCATTGGGGTTCGAAACTTGGTTGTAGAAACTGGATGCGCAATATATAAAAGGAAGTGTTGAGTAATCCTGGAATGGGACCGAATGCCACTATCAATCATTGGATAGAAGACATTCTTATGTTCCATTTCACTCTTAGGCATGTAAAAGGCAGTACTTTCCCTGCAGATGGACTATCAAGACGTGATGCGCAACCAGGAGACGAAGTTCATCTGGACTTGGAAGATTATGACCTCAAAGATCATGGTCCCGCTCCAGTTTGAAGTTGCAGAAGGAACTAGTACTGAGCCGAAAGATATAGAAGAATTTAAGCATGATATTGATAGTCGAGGCGGCTATATGTACACTCTAGCCACTAGTATCGAGGAGTTTGCTGCAGAATTAGACGAAGCACAGTCACGCGAGCAAGAACTCAGACAGTTATACTTAGCACAAGAAAACACCAATGAATCTGTATGCCAGTTCCTGAAAGCAACCCCTCTGATCCCAGGCCTCAAACACAAGTTTGATCCTGAAAAGCGAGAAGACTATCCAGAGACCCAGCAGACTAGTAGTGGAATAGTGCAAGACGAGCGCTTACCGCATGTAAGGACTTGGTTAAGAAATCCCAGATTTCATCCAGAAGGACTTAACGAAAAGCAATACTTGAATTTCAAGCAATATTGCCGGAATTTCTTCTTGGACAAGGAAGGACGACTGTATAGACGCGGTACTGAAGGATCCCATAGACTAGTGGTCAGTAAAGAGCATCGAATGTACATGATGAGGTCAGCACACGACTCGCTAGGACATAGAGGCTTTTACATGACTAAGTCACTATTGGAACAAAGGTTCTGGTGGCCAGAGTTGGAATGGGACGTGAGTTGGTACGTCAAGTCTTGTCACTTGTGTCAGATTTGGCAGAAAACCATGTTGCATATTCCACCCTCTCTCACAGAGACGCCTTCACTATTCCAGAAAGTACACTGCGACACTATGGTTATGTCCATCCCATCAAATAAGTGCAAGTATATTGTGCATGCTCGGGACTCGCTATCGTCCTGGCCAGAAGCACGAGCACTACAGCACAAAAATGCAAAGGCTATTGCGGTATGGTTCTTTGAGGATGTGATATGCAGGTGGGGTTGTCCTTCCGAGATAGTAACTGATAATGGCGGACCTTGGGTAGCTGTTGTGCAGTGGCTAGCGGACAAGTATGGCATCACAGGCATAAGAATCACTCCATATAATTTGCAGGCAAATGGGAAAATAGAAAGAGGCCACTGGGACATCCGGCAATCATTATTTAAGGCGACTAGTGGCAATGCAAAGAAATGGTTTTACTTTCTACCACATGTACTATGGGCGGACCGTATCACTATTAAACGTGGTACCGGATGCTCACCGTATTTTATGGCGTTGGGAGTGCACCCAATAGTGCCCTTGGATGTAGTAGAAGCGACTTGGCTCGTAAAACCCCCAAGTGGAGTCTTGAGCACAGCAGACCTGATAGGGATCCGTGCTCAAGCACTTGCCAAGCATGCTCAGCATGTGATGGAGATGTGGAAAAGAATAAGCAAGAATAAACTTGATACTGTACTTCGCTATGAACACAAGCACAAGGCCACTATTGTGGATTACAACTTCAAACCGGGTCGACTAGTGCTCATGCGAAATACACGTGTAGAGAATAGTCTGGATAGTAAAATGGATCCCCGCTACCTGGGACCTCTAGTAGTAATTTGGAGGACCAAGAGAGGATCCTATGTGCTAGCTGAGTTGGATGGATCACTGGTCAGTGGTACTGTCGCTCAATTCCGAGTTATCCCATACCATGCGAGGCATAGTATAGAGTTACCTAAGAAAATTCATGATTTGATAGACGTAAGTCCGAAAACTCTTAAAGAGTTGGTGGATAGTGACAAGCCTGCATCCACAGAGTACCACTATCAGCCCTTAGGAAAGAAATTATATGGTGTAGACCGGGTTAAGTTGAAATGGCCCGAGGATAGTGACTCCCAAAGTGACAACTCAGAGTCGGAAGCGGAGGGATACCCTCCACCTCAGAGTGAGGAGGACAATAATGATGAAGAGGATGATACCCCTCTCGCTAGTCACCTCAGAAGCTCAAAGCAACAACCAAAAGACGGTTAGGAGTGTTAGGATCATGCCAATAGGATTGCGACAGTAAGTGCACGAAGCGGAATGCTGCGGGATGCGTCGGGCGTGGGCGAAGCTATTAGCAATGTCACCCCTGAGCCGAAGCCCTAAGATGGATACGGACAGAAGTCCGCGGAGTGGCAGAGACGAGGTAAGAGATAAGTCCAGCGGATCAGAGTTCCGCGGACTGGAGAACGAGAGTTAGACTTAGAGTCAGAGAGAGAGAGATTGGGCTGAACCAAGTTGATATTTGAACTGAGTATCTACAGTGTAATTCTAAGGCTTATATACTAGTTAGGAGTCCGATCTAGTTCCTACTCGGAGTGGTCTACATTCTAGGGTTGTCGGAGGATGTATTCTACCGGTCGGTAGCCGATGGGGTCCGATGACATATTCGCTACCGATGTCAGGCTATTGGTAAATTGTAATGGAGAAGTGAAATATAGAATGGAATATGAAATAGAATATGAAATAGAAACTGGGAATCGGAATCCGTAGGATTCCAGGCTGTGGTTTGTTGGGTTGAGTGGAAGTCAGGGTTCCATCGGCATGCTCGTTACAGTATCCCCCCCTTAGCGTTCTTGCCCTCAAGGACACAGATCCCGATGGCCGAGTGTGACCACGTGGAATTTTTTCAGGTTGGTCACGTGGCTTTTCACCTCTTAGCTTTCTACCACCACCATCTCTTCCATTTTCTGAGTTTTGTCCTCGTCGTTGGCCATGTCGTCCACCGTTGAATACCGCACTTCCGTGACGCCCGAACCGTACGAACCTGCCCCGACACCCGAAGATATTCGGCCTGAAGACCTAGAGGCCTTTTATGATGAGCGGGACGCCGCGGAGAAGGCTAGGGAGGATGCCGCGGAGGCCCATGAGGCTTGGAAGGTGCAGAAGCAAAAGGAGGAAAAGAGGCGGGCTCTGGAGTTAGAACGGCGAGAGAAAAAGTTGGCCCAGGAAAGGAAGGTTGCGGAGGCCAAAGCAAGGAAGGAGAGGGAGGAGCGGGAGGCCGCGGAGAAGAAACGGCAAGAGGAGGCAGAGGCTAAGGCAAAGGCGGAGGCGGCTGCTGTGGAGCAGCAGAGGTTGGAAGAGGAGGCAAGGGCCTTGGAGGAAAGGAGAGCTGCGGAGAAGAAGAAGTTAGAAGGTGAGGCCAAAGCAAAGGCTTTGGTGGAAGCTAGCAAGGCCGTGGAGGCAGAGAAGGAGAGGGAGAAGGTAGATGGGAATGAGGGGAGCAAGGTTGGTAGCGGGTCCGACGGAGATGACGAGCGGGAGAAGGACCCGAAGGGGAAGGCATTGAAAAAATTGGTAAAGCAGAGAAGGGATAGGAAGGGTAAGGGCAAGGCGACCGATTCAGAGGCCGTGGACGTTTCGAGGAAGCGTAAGATCAAGTCTAGTGCGGTGGTGGTCAGTGGGGAAGAGGAAGTCATGGGGCCATCGGGAAGGCCTTTGAAGAAATTGAAGACCAAGCCTGAGATGCAGGTGGACGACGAAGAATATAAGGGTAATGGTAAGTGACTTCCATAGGGACCCGTGGCTCATGCTGACTTGTTCTGTAGAGCGTTGTGGTTGTTGTAAGGCAGACATGAAGTGTTTTATCCGCCGCAGGTGCACTTGCGAGCGATGTAAGCTGAAGAAGAGCAAGTGCGTATTTAGTCAGGGTGAAGGGTTGGGGTCCGTGGGTTCCGATGAGGTTGTGTACTTGTTGCAACAACTTTGTGACAAGATGGACAACTTCCAGGAAGGCTTGGAAAGGGTAGAGGGGAAGGTCGACTTCCATGAGGGTGACGCACCGGAATGGCCATCGGATTTCGTCGAGGAGGAGTTTAGGGAGGAATGGGCAGCATCTAAGGTCGAGCTCGGAAACCTCAAGAACGTGAACTCGGAGGCCCTATGGATCGCGATGCGTATGGGACTTGACAAGGACGTTGCCCAGTTGTGGAATGCCCATGTGACGGGTACTGAAACCCTCGACGCCGTGGATCCCTTCGAGGTCGCCAACATGCAAGTTTGGTATGGCTGCCTTGGGAAAGACGGTCTTCGATTGGCCATCAAATGTCGCAACCATTTCTTGGACACAAGGGACCAATTCTATGCACTCGGAGGCCGTCAGATTGAGTGGGCGTTGTGGAAGAGGTATTTGGAGGATGCAGACGAATTTTTGGTAGAGGATTCCGAAGGAGAATTGGATCCTGAGGAGAAGAAGAGGAATGAGATGTGCCCGGGTGCGGGTGCCATTGGAGTTCCAGCACTGGATGAGTTGGAGCTTATTGTCATGAGTGATGAGGAGAAGGAAGGAAGTGGAAGGGAAGATAGGGTGGACGAGGATGTGGTGATGGGAGAGCTGGTGTGCGCGGAATCCTAGGCACCCTTCTTGGACTTGTTATAATTTTTTGGATATTGTGTGTTGTACATGTTTTTGATAGCATTGGCCCTAGTGGCAATAATTATATATCTTGGCTTGTAGGCTTGAGTGAGTAAAAGGGAGAAGGAAAGCAAGAAATAGGCATCCGATGGGTTCTGTTCCCAATTAGGAAGGTAATTTGCAATAGTTTTCCAGGATTTGATTTGAAATTCGAGGAGTGGAGACCGTAGGGAGCCAATAAGTTATGGGTAGGTCAAGAAGCAATGGGCGAGGGTTTTGAGGGAGACTTTGCGGATGGTGACTTTGGATAGTGGTC